ACAATAGGGATATGTTCTGAGAAATGTGTTGCAGGCAATCCTGTAATTGTGTGGACATGAGGTGTAATGACACAAACCTTGATGGTATAGCCTACTACACACTGAGCCTGCATGGTGTGTTCTATTGGGACCTCTGTGCAGTTCAAATGGAGTGAATTGTCATATAACACATGGCTTTATAGAATTTTGTTTTTTCTTTATTATTTAAGGTACAAACTTTTTGTTGATTGTATTTTACAAAAATCTTTCCTTCAGTATAACTTACCTTTCTAGTCTCTTCATTATATGCTTTGAAAGATGAGAAGTTCTTGATTTTAATATGGCTCAGTTAAAAGTTTTCAATCTTTTAAAGTTAGTGCTGTTTCCTGCTCTAAGAAATCTTTGCTTACCTTGAAGTCATAAAATATTTTCCTATGACTGCATTAGCACTATAGAATAGTGTTAATAGCTGGCAGAGACTATCTTACCACTTTTTTTTTTCTTCTTCTTAACAATCTCAACTTCTCAGCCCTGTATTTCCATATGAATTTTGGAATCAAACTGTAAATATATACCAAAAAAGTTCCTACTGGAAATTGTATTGGAATTGAATTGAATCTATGCATCATTTTGGGAAGAAATGACATTTTTATATCAGACCTTTTAATCCATCAACAGTATAGATCGCTCCATTTATTTAGACTTTCATTAATTTCTCTCAGACATTCAGTTAACTGTATAAATATATCTTACACATCTTTCAGATTTAGGTTTATTACAAATTTACTCATAGGTGTTTAAATTTTTCAATAACATAAAAGATGTCTTAATTTTGATTTCTAATTGTTAATGTTACATAGACAATTTTATGTGTGTTTGTTGAATGGAACTTACTTGATTCTTTTGGTTTGACTTTAGGTTATTTAAATTTTTCTATATGTACAATCATACAAACTGCAAATATTGAGCTTTCTTCTTCCTTTTCACCCTTATACTTTTGTTTTTTCTCTTGCCTCTTTGCTCTGGCTAGCACTGCTTGTGCAACATTGAATGCAAATGATGATTGAAGGCATTCTTGTAAAATTTCAATATTTCTTCATTTAGGTATGATGTTTGTTGGAACTTTTATTACAGAAGCCCTTTTATCACATTAAGGATATTCCCTTCTATTCCTAGGTTGCTTAGAGTTTGTTTTTTTAAAAAAAAGATTAATTTATTTTATGCATACAAGAACTGGGGTGTATGCCCAAAGGTGCAGGGGGTGAGAGGATTCGCCAGAGACAGAGTGGGGAGCACATCAGGCAGATCCACTGAAATACACTGCTGAGGGGAGCAGTGGGCAAGGCAGGAGGGGTCTGCTGTGCCATGTGGGTCAGTTCCCTGACTGGGAATTGAACTTGTGCTGCAGTGGCTGCAGATAGCTTTATAATTTTTTTAAAAGATTTATTTATCTATGTAAGCACTGGGTACAGTCAGAAGTGTGGGAGGGTGAGAGAATTCACCAGAGTCAGAGTGGAGAGCAGAGCAGGCAGACTGACTAATAAGTACACTGCTGAGGGGAGCAGTGGGCAGCGGGAGAGGTCTGTGCGCCATGTGGGACCCTCACCTGGTGGTGGCCAGGGATCAAACTGGTGCTGCAGAGGCTGCGGGCAGCTTCGCAACCCAGGGCTCAACCACTGCGCCACCACGGAGGCCTGATAGCTTTATAATGCTGAGACTTAATCCCTTGTTCCACCAGAGAGGCCCCCTGCTTAGAGTTTTTACTGTGAATGGGTGATGAATTTTATCAAGTGCTTTTACGCATTTATCTAGACAATTATATCTTTTTTGTTTTGTTTTGTTTAATGTAGAGTATTGCATTGATTGATGTTTGGGTGTTACATGAATGTTATATTTTTGAAATAAACCCAACTTGGTGAAAGTACATTATCCTTTCTGTGTCTTATTAAATTAGGTCTTTAATACTTTATCTAAAATTTTTACATCTGTGATTTTTAGTGAGATGGGTCATACTTTCCTATCAATATCAGTTGGGGATATTTTTACTTTTGCTGTTCCATAGAAGACTTTGTGTAAAATTGGCATTATATTTTCCTGAATATGTGGAATATCATTTAAGAAATCATCTTAGAGTTTTCAGCCTTTTTAAAATTAGAGTATTATGGCTCATTTCCCTCTTAAGTACAGTTCTAACTATATCACATTTTAATGTGTTTTATGTATTAATTTCCAAATATTTTGTGTTTTGACTTTTTGAACATGTGTTCACACATTCATCTTGAATACAAGAAACATTTCTAGGCATACAGAAATTTTTGTAGTTATATTTTGTTTTTGATATTAGTGTGATCAGAAAGTGTATATCATTTCAGTCCTTTCATTTTTTGATTTTTTAAATTACCAATCAAAGTAAATAATTTAGTGCCTGCTTAAAAAGACTGTGTGTGAATTAGATAATTGCAGTATATTTATTGACTAGGGTTGCTGTATCCAAGCTGGGCTACTCAAGAACAGAAAGAAGTTTGTTGTCCTATCGTTTTGGAGGTTAGAAGTGAGAAATCAGGTTGTCGGCTTATGTTTCCTCTGAAGCCCCTATGAGAGAAGCCTTTCTTGTTTCTTTCAGTATCTAGTGTTTGCCAGCAGTTCTTGGGTTGGGTGGTTTGTACAGCATTACTCCACGCTTTGCCTCTGTGTAACGTAATCATGTTCTCCCTGCTTGTTTCTTCACTCTACCACATCTAGCCATTTGATAGAGGGCAGTGAGTACTTTGCATATCATAGCCCCTCACCAGGCTGACTCTTTTTTATTTATTTATTTATATATTTTTTACATCATTGTTCATTTTTGTGCAGTGTATGCTTTCTTCTCTCAGGTATAGTCCACGTAAAATTCCCACCACCATCGATTCACCTGGGAGCCATCACCACAGTCTCTTGTGCTCTTCCCGCCCTTGTTTTGATCCCGTTCCATCCCCCTCCCCTGCTGAATATCTCTGATTTATAGTTGCCTTATCTGTTTTTATTATTATTTATTTTTCCTGATCCCTTATTTGGGTCCTCTATAATTCCTCCAATAAGTGAAACCATCTGATAATTTTCTTTTTCCTTCTGGCTTATTTCACTGAGCATAACCCCTTCTAGTTCCACCCATGTTTCTGCGAATGGCATGAATTTACCTTTTTTGATTGCTGAGTAGTATTCCATTGTGCTGACTCATTTTTTATTTACATTTTTCCTCCAAAGTTTTCTCTCTTGTCTCTTATTTTCTTGAGTATAAGAGGCATAACTATTCTTTTTTTTTTTTAAAGATTTATTTATTTATTTATACAAGCACTGGGTACAGTCAGAAGCGCGGGAGGGTGAGAGAATTCACCAGAGCAGGGAGCAGAGCAGGCAGAAGGACCGAAGCACACTGCTGAGGGGAGCAGCAGGCGGCAGGAGAGGTCCGCGCGCCATGTGGGACCCTCCTCTGGTGGCCGGGGAGCAGCCGGGAATCGAACTGGCGCTGCAGAGGCTGCGGGCTGCTTCGCAACCCAGCGCTCAACCGCTGCTCCACCGGGGAGGCCCAAGAGGCATAACTATTCTAATGTCCATTTTTGAAAACTATTATCAAATTCTTTTTTTTTTTTTTTTTTCCTACATAACATATTTATTTATTTATTTATTTTTTAAAAATATTAAATTTTATTTTTATATTCCCCCATACAATTGCAAACGCCCCATTCTGACCCCAATCCTTCCCCTCCCGCCCCCCCCCCCCAATATTATCAAATTCTTTATGTATCTATTACTAATGACTTGATTTTTCAGTCACATTGTTTTATATCTTTATATGATTCATTGTTTTTGTTTGAATGCTAGATAGTGTATATGAAAAATATGTAAAGAAATTTGAAAAGCTACATGCTGTTATCTAGAGGGGATTTAGTTTTGCTGCAGAAAGTGGCCAGGGGGCTGGCAAACCTCGACTGCATTAATCCAGACAGGAATTAAAAAGATTTAAAGTTGAATTTAATCTCTGTTAAAGTTGGTCTAATTCTTACTCACTTTTACTCATTTCCAGACATGCCTCATCTGCTCTTCAGCTCCAACTTTTGTCAGACATGCCTCATCTACTCCTTAGCTCCAAATTTTGCTCTCCTATCCTTAGAAGTTTTATCTTTTATCATCTTCCCTTGGCTCATATCCTTCTTCAGAATTAGCCAATGTTTTTAGGGGAAATACACATACCTCTTTGAGTTTCCTTTGATTTGAGATCACTCTTCACTGTTCGTCATTCTCATGCTTTCAGATAAATACTTTTGCTTTAAATAGTCATCTGTCTCTTCTAATTCCAAGAGAATTGATTAAAGTTACCTATTTTATCATGTAAGTACAAATCAGAAAATGTAACTTTTTTCCTGAGTTATAATCTTTAAAATGGTTATATAAAAGCTACGGCTTTATGTGGACCATCAGACATTTCATTTGTTCAGACTTTATGCAAGTTTCTTAGCATGGAGTCAGATATACCTATCTACCAGAAAAGTTTAAGTCATATATAGAGATAGCATCAAAATGACTGGATGTCCAGAGTTGTACTATATATAGTTAAATTAGACTTCATAAAGTTTAGGTGTTAGCAACCAAAATGATTTTCAAGAGTAGTAGTATTTTATCCATCTAGCTCTTGTTAAGACAGAATCACTTAGATTCTTTGGCTATTTACTTTTAGAAATTTTTTAAAAATCTTCATCAGTGCAGTACTTCTTGGAGAAACAAACAAATAAGAACTGTTTTGTACAGAAAAATCAATGTGTTTTTTTCTGATAATGTATTAACTTGTATTTTTTTATTTAAGTATCAAAATGCTGCTCTCTTGGTTGAGCTTCACAGAACTTCAGAAATAACTATTTGTCACTTGCTTTTTTCCCCTCTAAATTTATTTTCCTGTTTACTGATCAGAAGGATTCCATGCACTTCCAAGATAGGGTTAACATCAATCTAAAGTCTCAATTCTTTTCTGTCTTCACTGCTTACAGACAGGGAACACAATCTCTTCAGCCTGGACCTATGTAGAAGAATTTGGAGAAAATGAGCAGGTAAGAAAATTATCTTAGGAATATTAAGTGATACAGTTAGTATCAGAAAGCCAGTTATAAATTTTCCAGTGATACTTTGTGAAATATTTTGGTTATCACAGCTTTGTTAATCGTAGACTCACTAAGCAAAGTTGTAAAAAATTAAACTGGTTTCCATATTTCATGTAAACAGTATTTTAAGGTATGGAGTGACTATGTTATATGTAGGTTTTTCAGCATTTCTCAAACTTATCTGAAATTGGAATGCTTAATTTTTTTTCGAACTTACTAAACCAAAATTACTATTGATATAATTTGAACCAGGATTCACTGTTTAGTTTTTTCAGCATGGTACTGAAAAGGATAAACTTTAGTAGGAAATTAAAAGTAGATAGTAGTGTGAGTAAAGATGATTACTATCCAAACTCTTTACATGTGGAGGCAAAAAGAATGTTGTGATTTTTTTTTTTTTTGGTAGCAAATCATGAACTACTTCTGTGTTCTTGAGTAACTTCTGTTTCTTCACCTTTCTGTGTCTCAGTTTTCGTCGTGATAAAGAGGAAAATACTACTTGCCTTGTGAGGCCATATAAGGAGTAAATAGTACTGATCTTATATGGTTATTTTTGGCTCTTAAGTGCATGCTCAGTAAATACTAGCTGTTATCTATGTTACTCATATTTCAGATAAAGACATATTTGTTATGTTTGACATATAATTGTTTTATTACAGATTTTAATCTTAGCATAAAAATTCAGGTACATGATTGTGATGCTCTTTTCGGAACTATCTTCTCTATACACTTTTGTAATTCAAATTTTGAATTAAAGGGACTTGTTTTTACTGATAGAAAGGAAGCTTGAAAAGAGTTGCTAATCACTTCTAAGACTTTTATCTTCGCTTTTGCTCAAATATTTTTTCTAAGTGAGCTAAGGTTTTCAAGCTCTACTGAAGCCTAGATTGCTGCAGCTCAGGTCATAAATTTCGCTCTCCTACTCTGCTGTCGTAGTATTTCTTTGCAAATGATTAGAAACTAGCATTAAGAAGAGTTTGACCTAATGAATCTCTTAGTACAAAGGTAGCAAACTGGAAGCCCTGGTTGTGGTTGGTTGGTTCTCTTCCAATTTTTTTAAAGAAAAGCAATGAGGCTTAATTTCAGTACATGTAACTGGACCTCTGTTGTTTTTGTTCCTCTCAGTTCTTTTTTGCTTTGTTGCATCTTGGCATTTTGAAGACATTTGAGTTTATAATCTCTGCATCTAGCATATTTCAAGGATTTTCTTATTTTGTTTTTAATGTTTTCCTAGTACATATTATCCCCATTAAAAGTTCCATCCAAAATAATCAAAGATTTTCAGCGAAATAATTGTTTCTAAGATCAAACAAGTTTAGGAAACTGTACTATCTTTTCCCCTTGGAAAATCATAAGGCATGGTGGAATCTTGACTAGTTGTAGTAGCAACTTGTTTAACTGTTGTACCCGTCTTTCCTAAAATTTTCCCAAGACTTTTTGGTGGAGGGTTAAGTCTTATTTTGAGGCACTTTTATGAGATGTAATTTGTGAAACACTGAAACTGACCCAAAGACACACTTAGGGTTTTGTCTCTAACTTTATTGAGGTACAATCAAAGTACAATAAAATATATATATTTAGGTCTGCACTTTGATCAGTTTTGACATCTGTATACATCTGTGAAATGCTAGAGTCAAGGAAGAAAATAATGACATCACCCTGCAATAACACCTCTACCCTGCTGTAATCTAACCCTTCCTGCCCTCTGTGCTGGGCCCCACATATCTGGTTGCTGTCACCATAGATGAATTTGCATTTTCTAGAGTTTTAGACCCTTGTTTTTGAAAGTTCAAATTCTGATCTTTAGCTAAGTTAGAGTGAAGATCTCTGATAGTCTATGCTGATGATCATTGTCACACACTTAGTTTCACAGAAATCATTTAAAACCCCAATTATTCAATATTTGGGGAAATGCCCCCCCCCCAGTGGCGCAGGGGTGAGTCTCAGTGGTGACACCACATCCCCGGCCCGGGGGGCTGCCCACAGGGCGGCGGCAGACTTCTCCTGTCTTGCCCGCTGCTCCCTTCAGCCGTGTGTTTCATCAGTCTGCCTGTTCTGCTCCCGGCTCTGTCTCTGGTGGATCCTCTCACCCTCCAGCACCTCTGGCCTGCATCCCAGTTCTTCTACACAAAAATAAATAAGTAAATCTTACCAAAAAATGAAATGATTTTCCCCCTAAAACTGCATAAAAGATAACAGTGAAAATAGAGAATGTAGCGACTACAGCTCTGTAAGGAAGCAGTTACGGACAATGATTTCATTCTTTCCAGTCATCCATTGCTAAAGTTTCTGTGCTCGCAGCCTGCTGCATCATGCTGACACAGAAGTACTGACCTCTGCTACTCTCTGGGCCTAGTTTTGGGGAAACATCGGTCACTTCTGTCTCCTCCTTGCCCTTTGCCGTCAGTTACCTGATAGAAAAAAATAGGTAGAGGATAAAAATACCTCTCTGGGAGTATTTTCATTTGGGAGTCGTGACTTTTACCTTGCTTATAAGAGAGAGAGTAAGTGAAGTAAAAATGCCAATACATTTTATGATACTGATGTGGTCCAGCCAAAAATGCAATTGCTACTTTTGATTGGAACACATTACAGAATTATCACATTTATGGGCACTACTTTTCTAGTTAATGATTTTTAAGTATCTTTAAAATTTCATAGATAAGTTGCTTAATGACTAACAATTCTGAAAAGTCTTTACTTTGCTGTAAAGTTGTGCTTGATTTACTGTACTAGGATAGAAAGTACAAAATAATAAATGATGACTTTTGTTTACATTCTAATACAGATGATCTTTTATCTCTCTGTTTGAACCCAGCCATACTTTATGCTCTGAGGATATATAGTGCTGTTAAAGTTTTTTTTTAACAGATAAAATTCATTCAGTGAAAGAAAGTTATTGAGTTATTTCAATTATAGCTATTGAATGTTAGAAATTAAAATAATAAAATGACAAAATGATGAAATTTTTTTCAAAAATTTTAACAACTCCATAAAAATCTAAAGAAATAGTTAAGATATGCATTAAAGATTTGAGAAATGTGTTTCATAGATCAAAATATCCTGTGCTTTACCCTCATAAATGCTGCTGGTGGGAGTATAAATGGTATAGCTGCCTTGGAAAATAGTTTAGCAATACCTCAAAAATGCTAAGCATAGAGTTACTATATAGCCCAGCGATTCCATTCCTAGGTATTTACCAAGAGAAGCAAAAACATATATCTGTACGAAATCTTAGATGTATATTACTTAGCAGCATTATGTGTTATATCCAAAAGGTAGAACATGGGCCTCCCCGGTGGCGCAGCGGTTGGGCGCTGGGCTGTGAAGCTGCCCAAAGCCTTTGCAGCGCCGGTTTGATCCCTGGCCACTGGTGAGGGTCCCACATGGCGTGACAGACCTCTCCTGTCTCACCCGCTGCTCCCCTCAGCAGTGTATTTCGTCGGTCTGCCTGTTCTGTTCCCCGCTCTGGCTCGGGTGAATTCTCTCACCCTCCCGCACTTCTGACTGTACCCAGTGCTTGTATAAATAAATAAATAAATAAATAAATCTTTTAAAGAAATACATGAAAAACCATGGTCTGGACATAAAGGTAGAACTCTCATAGCTAACAAGGAAAAGAAAAATACCAGTTATAAAGAATGTACTTTTTAGTGGAAAATAGGGAGTATTTGTTCAGAAATAAATTAGAAGAAAAAGAAAATTAATATGAGAACTAAATTCACCTTAAAGTCTTTATTAAGGATTTTCATCTTTTTATATGAAGCAGAAAAGCAGCTGGAGGACCCCAGGGTATTTGGTCTGATGTGAAATTAGAAACCAAAAATGAGACACAGAGTAATTCAATCTGTATCCATTGCTTAGATTTTCAGGGAGAGTCACATTGGTGGTATTCACCACCAGGTTGCCTGTTGTGGGCAGAGAGAGGGAAACCAGATTCTGCTCACTCCGGAAGCAGGACTGACGGCAGGTGGAGAGTGCATAGTCCAGAGCAGCAAGTCTCTGCTCTGTCTGATGTGCAGTTACCACTCACTTTCCCTGCCCATTCCAGACAGTGTCAGAGCCTTTAGGATCCAGAGATCCTTTTAGACATTATTTCTTGATTAGAATTGATTTGCACTTAACATGAAGCTATTTGTTAGTCTTTGTATAGATCAGAGTGATTCTATGAAAATGTTTGTATTCATTCAAGATGTGTGACATTGTTGAAAAGTTGATCAAATGCTTTCTCTGATAATCCATTATGCTGTATTAGAGCAGGTAAATCTCACACTTTCGTTTGCTTTGTCAGGGGCCTTTTCTATGAAATAATTACATAAACATTTAGTATATAAAACCAGGGAATGCAGAGTTCTGTGGGTTAAAACAGGAAGTGGGGGCAGCTAGGTGCAAGAAGCAGCAGGCAGTAGAGAGCTCTGTCTACTTTATTTCTGTTCTATTCCCACAGCACTGAGATACTTTCTCTCAAATCAGTTTTGAGAAATAGGGTGAAAAATCTTGGTCAAGTGAAAATAATGCTGTCACACTTTAATGACCTTTTGGTGAACAATGGGCCACATGTGTGTTTTCTGGATAGTGTGTGGTGGACTATCATGTCTAGGTTTCTCTGAGTACGGTCTAGGATATTCATACAATGACAACAAAGTCACCTTTTGACTTATTTCTCAGAACATAGCCCTCTTATTAATGAGTGATGACTGTACTTTCTTAGGAATTAAAAGGTCTTATTTTTAACTTGTTCATTCAATCAGTGCTGTAGATGTATGCTACAGTCACTAATCAACCATGGCTTCTCCGTGTCATTCTTCAGTTGAAAGTGATAGTTTGAACGAATAGGCTTTTGAGAGCTCAACCTGTTCCTGCTTTAAGATTTTTTTTTTTTTATTTGTGGGACCCTTGCCGGTGGCCGGGGAACGAACTGGCGCTGCAGAGGCTGCGGGCAGCCTCGCAGCCCAGCACTCAACCGCTGTGCCACCAGGGGAGGCCCCCTGCTTTAAGATTTTTAGAGAATTTTAGTTAAAAAATTCATATCCACAATGAAAAGACAAAACCAATAAAATGCTCAAAAAGCTTGAGCAGATGCTTTACTATAGATGATGCTCAAATGAGCAATAATAAACACATTCTTAGTCATAGGGGAAATATGAGTTAAAACCTAAAGGACATGCCATTTCACATCACTGGAATAGCTGTGATTAAAGACACAAGAAATTCCAATGTTTGGAGACTGTGGAGCAACAGAAGTTCTAAGTTTTACCACTGGAGAGCTGTTCTATGACCTAGTTCCATTCCTAGTGATTTCCCGAAAGAAATGTGAAAACATACTCAGCAAAAGACTTGAGTAAGAGTGTTTATAACAACTTTTTCATAATAGTCAAAATTTGGAGACAACCCCAAATATCTATCGATAAATTATAACGGAATACTACTGAACAATAAAAAGGAACCACCATGAATAATTTCAGAAGTTGTGTTGAAAGACAGAAGCTAGACACTAGAAAGAGTTTTAAATATGCATTTTCTACAAAGTCCAAGAACAGTCAAAGCTAAGTTGTAGTGCTAGAAATCAGAAAGTGGTTGTCTCCCGTAAAAGGGCTGTTGGAACACAAGCAGCTTGGGGTTGATGGAGCTCGCTTGGGTTCTGGTTACATGGGCTTTTAAAATTACCGAATCTCACTGATGTGAGCGCATTGGATATATGCATTTTATTGTACGTAAGTTGTACTTGGATTTGAGAAGTGTTAAGCCATTTAAATGATAGTGTAAAACTGAAATTCTGAAATGAGCTCTATCATTCTTTCCCTTGGACGGGGAAAGGGGAGTGAAGATCCCAGTCTGAGGCAGAAACAGTGGGATTGATTGAAGAGCTAAGGATATCCATTGGGAAGAAAAGCCAGGGGTAGGCAAGTAAGTGTGTCCTAGGAATTTCAACTTATTAGTTCTCTCATAGAAAGCAGTCATTTTCTGATATTTATTTTCTACGATCTATAAATTATAAGTTAGAGCTAGGAAAACATGGTATGTCTAGGTTTAGCTCACTGGTTATTTTAAGTTTGGTAGTATTTTTTAATCACCTAGTTATCTTTCTAAATACACTTAGAGTCTTAGGCTGTAATAAAAATATTATTGAAATGCTTGTAAAGTCTTCTAAACATCTGAAGCTTTTATTTCTTAGTCTTTGTAGTATTTGAGGCAAAATTTTCCCCCGATTTATCCTGTATCAAACTCATGTAAGGCAATTTTTAGTTAATGTAACCTACTTTAAAATGTGAGAATATAGTAGTTGATTAGTTTCTTTTTAAATTTAATATTTACAGTAGGGATCAGAAGTGCAGATTTTTAGACCTATGCCCATGCCAATGGCCAGTTGTTTGCCTCTCTCCTTTCTAAATCTGCCCCTTGGAGATATCCCTAGTTCATAAACAGTAGACTGATTAGCTCTTGAATGGAAATAAACCAAGTGAAAGGGATTTCTCTTTGAAAACTGCATGTCCCCCTACAGAAGTGTAATTATTTAAAGATCTGCTCTTCTAAATAATGTTGTCTACGATCACAATGTTAAAGTTTAAAAGAGGTAGTTGAATCCTAGGTACATGGCTAATAAGGAATTGACAGTATTTGAGCAATAATGTGTAGGAGGAGAGGGTAGGAAAGTTTTTTGAAGCAAAGATTTCTGTTTATACTCCATACCGTAATCCATCAAGCAAAGTGGCTCTTTTAGGAGGAGAAAAACATAAAAGAGGTGGACCAGGAGTTATTTTATTTTGGACTTTAGAAAAACAAATGACATCAAAGTAATTCCTTATCCAATTTCAATTTGAAATGGATGTCAGTAGTTGAAATTGGATAAGGAATACTTTGAACTGCATGTCATTTAAATGTATTTATGTCTTTCGGCGCAAGCTGATTTTGTTAATCACATGCTACTAGTCATAAAAATAGAAAGTGTATTAAATTACTTTAATTAGAGTTTTACAATGCTTATAATTAAGCCTATATTTAACTGATTTTTATTTTTTCCATTTTTTTCTTAACTAGGTCCTTTCTGATGTTGCTTGAGCTTATTCTCCTGCAGTTGATCTCATTCCTGTTGGCTAAATATTAAGTCCCATCACAACATAAAGTTAATGCTCAAATGTTTTAGGCTTAACTTATAATACCAGAAAATATGGAAAAAAACTTTGCCTGTACATCAGATGACCTAATTCCTTTTCTTCTATTCCTAGAAACACCATCACATTTATAAATGATCATATTCTTTTGTCACATCTTTGGCTTATTCTACACTGAAGAACATAGTTGAGTTTTTGGAAAGTACAGGATTTATAGATTTGGTCTTTAATATTCATACACTTATATTAATATTGCAATTAATGAAGCAGGAAATTATTGGTGTATAACATGAATGTTTATTGTGTAACAGTAATATTTCAATTATAAATATTTTTTAAAAAATAATTTGGTTTAGTACATGTCTTTTTCTACTGTAAGTTGATAATGGTTTCCTAAAGTTTATTTTATAAAGATGATTCATTTTAGTTTTGTGGTACTAGTAGGATGCTAATGTTAAATTGGTGTGTTGAGTTGTATAAATGTTTATATTAGTATTTAAATAATGAAATATTGGACAGTTAGTTTACACCAAGTGTTTTTGCAGTCCAGGGGTGAATGTTTCTGCTGGTTTCATGCCTAGTGCAGTTTCAAAAAAGCGAATATGAATTCACTGATTTTTATCTTTTCTTCATGGACTCTTTCTTAGTGTCAGAACCAAATTTGAAAAAAGCTTCATGTGGAGCAAGAGAAATCAGAGGTTCTCATTTTCTGTAATCAGAAAAAAAAAGACAAAACAATAGCTATCCAAGAATGCATTCTAGTAAGATCTTTGAAGCATTGTGTCAGTGAGAGGAACTGACTGATTTGCAGTACAGTTAATGCTGAAACAATCTTTACCAGCAATATAGTATTATCAGGATTTTGAATGTTTAGAACATTATGTTAAATTGTGATTATAGTTTTAATGCTTTGTCTCTTTGAATTAAATCTGTATCCACAAAGATGTGCAGCATAATTGTTCATATATTTATTTACAGACTACAATTTTCGTCGCAGCTCAATAAATAGTCTTTCCCCTATTAGTGCTACCCTCTCTTCTGGGACTCCCAGCGTGCTTCCTTATACTTCAAGGCCTTATTCTTATCCAAGCTATCCCTTGTCACCAACAATATCACTTGCTAATGGCAGCCATGTTGGACAGCGACTATATATCTCCAATCAGGCCTCATTCTTCTGAAGAAAATACTGTAAACATTGATATGAAAGTTTCTTTGTAAAGCATGCAAATTAAAATGCTGTTTTATTTTAGAATCGGGTTTGCATATTTGGTTTTAAAGTGATAAATATATATTTATTTCAACACAGTAAACATAACTCAGACAGTAATTCAGTTGTTGAACTTATAAAAATGCTAAGTTTAAAAAGTTATTCAGTGGTTTCACTTGATAAAGGTATAACAAACTACTGTTCTTTTAAAACTTTTGGGATTTTAAATATTTCTAATTCCTGAGTGAGCAGTAGAACCCAGTAGTTTATGTTAAATTTTTTCATAATAATTTTGCTAAGTAGCATTTCACAAATAGTAAAAACATCTGCAGACAGTTGTCCACTAGATTTGCTTACCAAGGATCACTATCTGTACTAGAGATTAAGAGTTATTTACCTGGAAGCATCTATTATGTAAAAGAAATGAAGGGCAAAAAAGATTAACAGGCAGATTCTATGCAGTACTGAAGAAAAGCACTCTACCATTGTGGTCCTTGAAAATAACTATAAATATTTTAGTTCATAATTATTTGTTCTAGGAATAAATTATAATTTTGATGTTGATGTATTTAAAGTTTTTATAGTTATGCTTCATTTGTGTTTTTGATATTCACTGTATAGTTGTTTGAATAATAATTGTTACGGTTTTTTAATGTTGAAATCATGTGTTAATTTTTGTACTTGAATTCAAATTCTTTGACATTAAATATGATGCTTCTAATGTGCGTGTGTTTGATTTTTATTAGTATGCACAAAAATATTAACTCACAGTTTGACTTTACTTGAGAACAATTTCCCATTCTAGTTACGCCATCGTACTTTAAGTGGCTTCCAAAACAGGATGTTGCAGACAGAAAATTGTTAGTTGCATAAAACACTAACAGAAGGGCCTCCCTGGTTAAGTCTCAGCACTATAAAGCTATTCGCAGCCACTACAGCGAGTTCCATACCCGGACAGGACAGGGAGGTGACCTACATGGCGCATCAGAACTCTCCTGTCTCACCTGCTGCTCCCTTCAGCAGTGTATTTCAGTCAATCCACCTGTTCTGCTCTCCACTCTGTCTCTGGTGTATCCTTTCACCCCCCACAACTCTAACCTACACCCTAGCTCTTGTATGCATAAATAAAAAAATCTTTTTTTAAAAAAAGGGAGTAACAAAAGACCTTTTTAGGGGCCAATAGAAATATGAAGCCAGTGAGGTTTCCAACCCTTTCATTTATGAATGATTAATGGATCCAGGTGATTTGACTATTAATAGTTTTTTTAGTATTCATTTATAATGAGTTTCTAATGATGGCTCACATAATTGATAATCAGAGACAGAAATATTTCCACTCTTAGAAACCAGACATAACTTTGTTAATCAACTCATTGTGTAATTGTATGGGGACGAAGAATTTGCATACATCGAATTGGAAATGATTGCAGTTATTTCTCTTTAACTTTCCAGCAAAAGTTATATGTAAATTAGTCTCAGATTTTGTACTCTAAAGAAGGTTCATTCCATATGACCATGTGCAGTAGTTAACTTTCCAGGTTGCTGCCTTAGATTTTGTACTTTAAATGAACATAGACACTATATCCAGCATTAATTTTTTCCCTGACATAACTGTTTAAATTACATAGATTTTTCAAATTTAATTACCATGACTTACAGGTTCATTATCTCTCCTTCAGCAAACATATAATGAGTGTTTGTTTTGTCAACTACTATGGTAATACCCCTTGGGATATAGAAGTGACTCAGACTCCAGATGAAAAATAAACACATGTAATTTTTTTTTTATAGAAACATTTGGAATGGCCCAAATCATCATAGTTAGTTTCCATGTAGCTTTTTCACTTTGAAAAAAAAAAAAAAAAGTGTGTTTGGAGGTTCATAATAATATAATGAGAAACAGGAAGGTTTGGTTTTAGGTTTGATTACTGCTTCTGCCAAGTAACAGCTCCTTGAAACTTGATGCTGAATCATAGTTTTCACATCTATAAATGGTGATACATACTGTATAATATGAAAGGCATAATACCTAGCAAAGAGAAGGTATACAGATGGTAGCTGTTATTATTTGGGTATCATTATATAAAAAATGCAGTGTTTATACCAGTTTTTCATCTCTTCTGCTTCCTTTAACCAGAACTACAGAAATCAGTACATTATATCATCACTTTCTATAACATTAATGGATGAGCAGTTAATTTTATTCATAGTGCATTGCAGCTTGTGAAGATGGCATACTCATTTGCTGCTTTTATTCTTAGAGCATAGGCTGTATAAGGTCTTTGAGTTGAATGAGGTCTTACCATGTCACTTGATTATAAACCCTTATTAATAAGTCTCGTAGCTATGTGACAGGGTTCAATGGCCAGAGAAACCATTTTAAAGAGAGCTCTTTGTCAAATCCTCCCCAACTTTGTGCAAGAGACAATGGCTGAGATATGCAGTATGTCCCATTTGGCCATGATCCATCTTGCATAAAATCCCTTGTAAGCAGATCAAGAAGCCTACCTAGAATATTTAACCTTATTTATGTAATTCTTTAAGTGTTAGAATGGAAATGATTTCACTAACAATGCCATGAAATCTAGAGGCCGTAATAGAAAAGGTAGCTGTAGGGAAAAAGTACCATGGGTTATGTCAAAAGAAACAACTGAACAATAATTGCAAATTGCAAAGGGCTAATTAAGTGAATATTTCTAGGTAACAAGGGGGAAAGGACCATCCTCTCGAGAAAAGGGGGGATAAGATGTATGACCTAAGCAGAGACAGAGATTCCTTAAGTGTTCAAAATAGGGTTTATCTTACACATGCAAATTAAATGCAGAAATTCAGAAGTTTGACTTCTTAAGCTTTCAAGTAAATGACAATTCTTAGGCATTGCAGGTGGGATTATGTATTGGTATAATTCATATAAAGAATAATCTGGTGGCTATGATCAAATTTACAAATAGTTGATTCTTTTGCCCTAGGAGTTCTGGGATATATTTGCATGTGTGTGTAAAGTGATATATGTGAAAGGGCTGTTCATTGAAACATTGTTTGTAACACAAATACCCATTATGAGGAGGCTGATTAAATAAAATGTGTTGGTGGATGCTGTTGTACAAAAAGAGAATGAGGGTGCTCTTCTGATCTTAAAAGAGATGTTAGGTGAAAAAGAACAAGGTTTACAAATACGTGTCTAATACTGTATTTTGAGTATGTAATACTGTATTTTGAGTAAAGAGGGAGAAAACATTTGCTTATTTTTGCACATAACAACTGCAGGTGGATATGCAAAAAGCAATGATAAATTTTTCTCTTTTTTTTAAGTAAAAAGAAATGTTCTCAGAAACAAAACGATGCTCTCTAGTGAACCACAATCTGATTATTTACTCAATTCCCAGAAGCTTCAGTGGTTTCTGAGCAGGAATCCAGATCAAGATAAACCCAGGGGGTAAACACAGTAGTGCACGCAGATATGCAGTTAACCATCTGGACTTAGTGGGTCCAATGTACTTGAAATGTGTGTCTAATTATAATGTAAGAAGCATGTATAATCTCTGGTAGGAAAAACCCAGTGAAGGCCCTAAGGTTTGCAAAAAAGACATTATCTCAGGGCCTCCCTGGTGGCGCAGGGATTAAGAGGCAGCCTATGAAGCAATCCGCAGCCTCTGCAGCATGAGTTTGATTCCCGGCAGGCCAGGGAGAAATCCACAGGTGGGACAGACCTCTCCTGTCTTGCCCCCTGCTCCCCTCAGCAGTGTACTTCGGTCAATCTGCCTGTTCTGTTCCCCGCTCTGTCTTTGGGTGAATCCTCTCACCCCCTCATCCCTGGCCTGTACCCCAATTCTTGTATAAAAATATTTTTTTTTTTAAAAAGACATTATCTTAGGCAAATAATTCACGTCCTTCTAAGAAACCTCTTTGAGCTAGTGACTGGGTGAACTGGGTATTACTTGATCACGTAAAGTTGAACGCGTCCAGTCTGGAGGTCTCTGTCGGTACTGCCATCCTTACTCAATCTCTTCTCTATGTAGACTTCCTAAGATCAGTTGGCTGAGAGAAAAAGTATTTCGAACCCTGTGTTCTAATGATAATGGAAGTCATGAAAGCTTGTCTGCTATACATCCTCCAGAAACTACACAGAACACTGACAAAAGAAACCCCCATAGGGACCACAACTTCAGCATAACTGGAGATCACTACAATTTGCAAACTCCTTGTGCCTAAAAATAAATATGGACATCAAGTTTCAGAAGTTATTTTTTTTTTTAGTTTTTGATACAAACCTTTGTGGAGCGCAAAGGGTGTCTTGAGGGATCTGGAAAACTAGAAAGCAGGAGTGGAGGGCCTAGGGCTGAGCTAGCAGAAAGTCTACCCTGACTGAAAGGAAAGAAAAAATCCTGGCATGTGCAAGCAGCCCTGGAAAGGCTGTACTTCCGGGAGGGAAGTGATGAGAGCTGGACAGGTCCTCTGGATTCTAGGTGGCGAAGGAGGGGGAAAAAGCAAGAGGAAAATTCAGAATCTTGCAGTACAAATGAAGCTAGAAAATAAGGGCATACAACCCCTAGCAACCCCTCTCCACTTGGGAAATCTGATTATTCTTCTCAGCCTTCTTGAGGAATCTGGAGGATGAGCTTTTTTTTTTTAATTAATATTTTATTTTATATAATTCTTACATCATTTTTCATCTTTTCACAATGTATGCATTATCATTTTGGTTATATTCCCCATACAATTGCACCCCCCCTTATTTTGACCCTAGTCCTTCCTCTCCCCTCCCCCCCCCCGTGTGTCTTTGGTTTATAGTCGCTTGTTGATTTTGATTTTTA